AAAACATCGATTTTATCAATACATTTGATAATAATAATAAAAGAACTACTGTAACGGATACAACATATCTATATCGATAAATTTGGTTTAATATTGTTGAATGAATTTTAGCTTTTCTATTTTGTTAAATATTTATTCAATCAACAGAATAAACAAATGCGACATTAATTAATATTTATTTGACAATGACTATCAAAACAACATTAAAAATATTTCTAACAGAAATTTGTCATATGATTGTCATAAAATTAATCTATTTAATCTACAATAGGAATCTATGAATGATATCCAGAAATGTGCCAAACGAGTTCCTTCTATTAAGAACAAAAGCCTTTGTAAGTAGATTGAAATACTTGATACTACTGTATAGCTAAGCTCGCCCACTCACTCTCACACCTAATCAAATATCTTTTGAATAATGCGCATCCAAAAAAAATAAATCTGATCAAAAATTATAGTGGAATTATTTTATTCGCAATCAAAAACAGTGCAACGAAAATACAGATTATTGAATTCTATTGTCCTGTCGTTGTAATTGTTTTTGTTCATTCCAAGAAATGTTTTTGTCGTTTTCGCAGATTCCCAAAGTCTCGAGTGTCTATGTGTTAAAAAAACCAGATATGAGAGAGATGAGACAACGAAGAAAATGACCGTGTTATATCGCAACGCATCAACGAGATGTTGTGCCCCGACCACTCCAGTTGGATTATAGTTCAAGTCCAACTTGGTGAGTGTCTATGTGTGAAGAAGATGCATATAAAAGAGATGAACATATGACAAGAATCACTTTGTTATATCTTAAGGCGTCACCAATATGTTGTGCTCCAGCAGCATCAATTTTATTGGCTCTTATGTTCAGTGTGATGAGCCCCTGTGTGCACGAAAGAAGATAAGAGTGTCAGAGAGGTAAAAACACGATGAGAATCACCTTATTAATTCGCAAGGTATTAGCAAGATGCTGAATTCCAATCATTCCGAATTCATTGCCCAACATATTCAATGTGGTAAGTGTCTATGTATCACAAAGATGAACATGAGAGAGTAGAGCATACGATAAGAATCACATTGTTATATATCAATGCATCAGCAATATATTTAGCTCCAGAATCTCCAATTCGATTTCTTCCTATATTGAATGTGGTGAGTGTCTATGTATATAGAAGAAGGTAAATACAAGAGACATGAAAACAGAATGACAATCACCGAATTATTTCTCAAGACATTACTGAGATGTTCTGCGCCAGCGACTCCAATTTCATTCTCAAAAAGATTTACTGTAATAAGTGTCTATGGGAAGGGAAGAAGATAAATATACAGGAGAGATAAAAATATACTAAGAATCACCTTATTATTCTGCAAGATGTCAGCAAGATACTCAGCTCCACGTTCTCCAATTTTACAAGCTTCAAGATTCAATATGACTAGTGCCTATACATAAGAAAGGTTAATAGATGAGAGAGATGGAAGCAGGATAAGTAGGATTACTGAATTAAGTTTCAAGCCATTGGCGAGATGTTTTACTCCATGATCTCCGATTTTTTGGTGACTAAGGTCAAGTGTGGTGAGTGTCTATGTGCAAAAAAGAAAATAAATATATAGAAGAATCGAAAAGAGGACAAAAATCACCGAGTTATGACTTAGACCATCAGCGAGATGTTCTATCCCACCATTTTCCATTCCTTCGTCATGAAACTTCAATGTAGTGAGCGTCTATATGTAGAGAAGAAAATGAACATGAGACAAATGAAAATAGAATGAGAATTACCTTGTTCTTTCTTAAGGCATCGGCAAGATCTTGTATCCCGACAGTAGCGAATCTCGCACGGGGAAGATTCATGGTAGTGAGTGTCTATGCAAACAGGAAAAGATGAATATGAGATAGATGCAAATAGAGTGAAAATCACCGAATTATTTCTTAAGACTTTACTAAGTTTTTGTATCCCCACAAGTTCAGTATAACACCCTTCAAGGTTCAGACAGGTGAGTGTCTTTGAATAGAGAAAAAGATGAATATGAGAAGAATGAAAATAGAACGAGAATCACCGAGTTACAACTTAGACCTTCAGCAAGATGTTGTACTCCATCATCCCAGATACCACACCAGCCAAGGTCAAGGATGGTGAGTGTCTATGTATAGAGAAGGCGATATACGTATATGAGAAAGGTGCTAATAAGATAAGAATCACCTTGTTAACTTTTAAGGCATCAGCGATATGTTTTGCTCCAGCATCTTTGAATTTATTCCAGGCAAGGTCAAGTCTGGTGAGTTTCTATGTATAGAGAAGAAGATATATATATGAGAAAGATGATTATAAGATAAAAATTACCTTGTTAGTTTTTAAGGCATCAGCGATATGTTTTGCCTCAGTGTCCCCTATTTTATTCTCGGAAAGATCTAGAGATATGAGTGCCTTTACGTTAAGAAAACAATGAATATAAGATGGATAAAACTACGATTAGAATTACCGAATTATATTTTAAGGCATCGGCAAGATGTTCGATCCCAACAGCTCCAATATGATTTTTTCGTAGTTCCAGTATTTTGAGTGTCTATATATAGAGAAGAGGATACATATATATTTATATGAGAGAGATGATAACAGAATGAGAATCACCGTATTGGTTTTTAAAGCATCAGCAAGATGTTTTGCCCCAGTATTTCCAACTATGTACTCTTCGAATTGACTGTTGAGGATCAGTGTGGTGAGTTTCTATGTGTAGAGAAAATTATAAATATGACATAGAGAGAAATAAATTAATGATCACCGTGTTAATTTTCAAGGCATCGGCTAAATATTGTACATCATCCTCTTTAAATTGATTTTTAGCAAGATTTAGGGTGGTAAGTGTCTATGTTAGCAAAAGTGTACGAATATATAAGAGAGATGAGAATTGGATGAGAATTACCAGGTTCCTTCTTAAGACATCCGCAAGATGTTTTATCCCATTAGTCCTGATATGATTCCAATGAAGATTCAGCGTGGTGAGTGTCTGTGTGTAGAGAGGAATATGCATAAAGGAAAGAGATAAAAATGTGATGAGAATTACTGAGCCATTTCTTAAAGCATCACAGAGATATTGAGCCGTCTCGTCTACAATAATCATGTATTCAAGATTCAGTGTGGCGAGTGTCTGTGTTCAAAAAAGACCATTAATTCGAGGATAATAAAAGGTGAATGAGCATCACATCATTATTTCGTAAAGCATCAGCCAGATATTGTATCGAAGTATATCTAAGATCATGATTGAAACCAAGGTCTAATGAAATCAATGTCTTATCATGAAGAAAAAGATTAATATTTCGCAGTGAAGAAGAAGATGGTAATTACTTTGTTTATTTTTAAGGCATCTGCGAGATGTTTTATTCCAGCATCTCCGACCTCATTATAGCGGAGATTTAGTGTGGTGATTGTCTTTGAAAAGAAGAGTATAGAAATAAGATAGATGAAAAGTTGAGGAGAATTACCGAGTTATTTTTTAAAGCATCAGCAAGGTATTGTGCTGTATCAGCCCCAATCGATCTACGTTCAAGATCCAATGTGTTGAGTGTCTATATATAGAAAAGAAAACAAAAATCAGTAGTATGTATCATATTGAATCTCATTTTTATAATTGTTCGTTTGAAATTTATGGATATTTCGAAGTATTTCCAGGATATTTATGATTCTCTGGAATCACATTTTTTATGTTTAGTAGTTCATTTAGTTTATATTCAGTAAATAACACAAGATGAGAGAGACGCTTTTATTGGCTATTTTATAAATAGAGGTGATTACAAAAACTTAATGTTTTCCTTTAAGAAGAAGATTTTTCTGTTCATACAGTAGTACCGATGCCACTTCTCTAAAGACAAAAAAATTATCAATTATTCAACCGACATTTTACTTGCAGGTACTTATGACTATTTCTGCATAACTTACATTCAAAAGCAAGAGAATTCTACGGTAATAAATCCTGTAGTTTCAGTTTTCATCGATATATCAATGGTAGTTCTTTAGAATGAAAGAACGAGAATAAATGAGGACAAAAATCGTCATATGGTAACCTATTGAAAAGATACGTCTTCTAAGGTCAAGCCCAATGTCTATATATAATCTAATGACAGATATTACCACGACTCATTCTCCATCATTTCCAGATGTTACAATCGATTTTCTTTTCTTTTTTTCTGTATATAATTTATTTATATTTTTCGATGCACTCATATGATATTAATTTAAAGGCGATATAAAATCTGTTTTATCAATGATATTATTGAAAAACATTCGTTTTATTGTTAATCGATCATTTTTTATTTTTCTGTTATACTTTTCCAATGGCTACCAAAAACATTCTACAATCCTTACAGAAATTCTTTGGTATTGGCAGTGACACTACTATTACTACTACTATCAAACCTGTATAAAGCCATACGGTGCCACCTTCCGAGTTCTTGGCCTTCGTCAATCTTATCAAGTCAGAGTTACACAAACTTCATAGTGGTGGGAAAAGCTTAATTATTGACCTCAAAGCTTTAGAAGGCCAGTCCATCAAGATATGATTACTCTTTGTGAATATATGACAAATATTTTGCTCGGTAATCCAATTGATGATAGTCTAATGGAGTTAGAAAAGATCTTCACTGTATTCTATACTTTACCAAGGGATAGTCATTTTTATGCATTCATCAGTAAAATCTTTCTTGGTGGTTTGTAGAAGTATCTATCACATCCACCGGTCAGCTTTCACTACCAAGCTGGGTATCAATGGAGATCGACCGACGCATCTAATAATAATCTCGCTTTTCCAACTGTTGGTCAATCTGTACAGAAATTTGTTCAAACTTGTCGTTCTAAACGACCTCAAGCCGAAGCACTTCCAGATCCAGCTCTGATATTTGATGAACTCTTAATACGATGTTCAGGAAAGGATGGTAAATTTAGAAAAAATGAATCTCATGTTTCAAGCAATTTGTTTTATTTTGCAACACTAATTACTCATGATTTATTTAATACGGATGAACGAGATAGAAGTGTTAATACCACGAAAAGCTATGCGGATTTAAGTCCTTTGTACGGGTGGACAAAGAAGACACAAGATTCTGTTCGCACAGGAAAAGATCGTCTACTTAAACCAGATCAATTTGCAGACAATCGATTCTGGCTTCAAACTGCTGGTGTGACCACTTTGCTCGTACTCTTCAATCGAAATCATAATTATATGGCAGAAAAACTTCTTCAGATCGATGAAAATTATCGATTTAGTTCCCTTCGAGAACAAGAACGTGATGAAGCACTCTTTCAAACAGCACGATTGATCAATGGACGAACCTATGCGAGTATCATTCTCTTTGATTATTTATGAGTTATTCTCGGTATGAATCGGATTGAAAATACATCGACTTTACGACTAACACGAGACTTTTCGGATGTGGGTTCTGGTAGTGACACACCGAAAGCAACTGGAAATCAATCTTCAATTGAATTTAACTTCCTATATCGTTGGCATCAGGCAACTAGTCTGGAGAATGAAATCTGGTTGAAAAATCGACCAACTCAACTAATCGGTGATTGAGAGAATTTAGATGCGAAAACAATGTTTAGAAAATTGGCAGAAGTGAAACAAGATCAAAAACAAAATTCTCAACTTAAACGTGATGAAAATGGTCGTTTCAATGACAAAGATCTTGACAAGGCACTCATTGATGGTTGTAATCATGTTGCTGGTGCTTTTGGTGCTCAGAATACTTCAGCTGTTTTACGCAATATTGAAATAAGTGGTATCTTACATGCAAGAAAAATGGGTCTCTGTACATTAAACGAGTATCGAAGTTTTTTAAACCTGAAAAAATATCAATCATTCGAATAATTCAATCAGAATTAGCGGATCGATTGGTGAAAGTCTATGAAACAGTTGACGAAGTGGAATTCTATCCTGGTTTACTTTGTGAGCAAAAAAAACCTGCCGTTCCTGGAAGTGGCCTCTGCCTGAATTACACTGCCCCTTTTGCAATTATGTTAGATGTCATGGCACTAGTACGTGGCGACCGATTTCACTCTCAAGAAGCAACACATTATAATCCGACTAAATTCGGTATGGAAGATAGTGAATCAGTTGCTACGACCGATTATGGTACTCTCAATGGAAGAAAACTTATTTCACGCCATTTAAGCAGTGTATTTACTCCAACTGGTGTTTATGCAATATTTCCTTTTACGCTGCCAAATGGAACACGGAAAAACTTGGGTGAAAAACAAACAAATTACGATTTCACTGAATCACTCTGATGAATTTGGCAGTTATGAATATTAAACCATTTCGACTAGGAGAATATCCTTTTCACAACAAATTTTGATTCTTTTCTTCTGACTTCATCAAGATAAGATAACATATGAAATATCTTTGTCACACCTCACGAAAATAAAATAGTTTATGAAGACCATGCGATTGTTTTTTTATTTCAATCTATGCGAGGTAATAACTTAACCTATATCAGTAGGGTACAAATCACTGCTAAAGATGAAAAATTGGATGCATGAATGCTAGGATTCGTGTTTGTCACCATACCGTTACGAAAAACGCGAACAAACGCATGTAAAAGGTTTGGTTTTTGCGTTTTCGAATGCACTGATGTATACTTAACCTTTTTTTGTTTTTGTGAAGAGTCACTGTGAGTTTCTAGGTTCAAAACCTACTATATTTCTCTTTCATTCGCCTCGTGCAATGGACAGAACTACAAATGTGGCTACTACTTTTTCTATGTGTATCATGTTTTGAGGATGTTGAAATTAGAAAGAAGTAGCTTACCTGGTACCGATGATAGCTATCCACGATTGTGTTCAAACGTGTACAAACATTTCGCATTGACATTAAGATATGGAATACCCTGAGATTGTCAAGAATCCGATAGACGATTTCCACCGGTAGTGTATGAAGAGAAAGAGTAATTTCGTGCGACATTGATGAAAGTTGTTTAGTTGTGTGTCACTCTACAAAGAATATCTCTTATATTTATTGTGAATGAAACTCAAATTGTATTTTTTCTTTGCCTACATTTATATTTATTTTGTGTGTCATAGGTTTTTTCTGATTGTGTAATTACTTCCCACGAAAAAATTTTTTTAAAAAGTTTGCGTTCCAACGCGTTTATTTTTATGTTCACATGTTTTCGCTAGAAGTTAAACGCAGGTTTTAAAACGCGTTCAAACGCCTCATTTTATCGGTAAAAACGGCTACATATCAACTAAAACGCGTTGCTAAAAACGCATTCCAACGCTTCTTTTTTCGAATAAAACATTAACAACCAGCTT